AAAAAAAAAAAAAACCCACAAAAACAAACTGATATGGGAATGAATAAATAAAGGAACAGAGTTGATTTTTCTTCTTATAGAATAAAGTAGGAAAATCTTAGAAAAGTGATCTGAGTACAATAATATAGCATAGAGGAAACAAAAGCAGGGGGACAGAGAGGAGAAACACTGCGATTCCCGCAGAAATGCCAATGAGATAATGAACAAGGGTTTTAAAGAAAGAAAGACACTAGCTAGTTTGAGAATATCAAATTGTTTAGTACATAAACTATGAAATCCCTAAAAATAACAACTATACAATAAATGAAAAAATAATTTACCTGCAGAATGGTCTTTGCTGTCCATGGCACTGTCCAAGGTTCTGCACTAAAAACTGCATCTGCAGCCTGTAACATAAATGGCCGATTAACCACTAATCATGAAGGATTAATTGACAATGATTATGTCTCCAATTACTAAGCTCTTCTTAGAAACTATTTCTTCCACAAAAAATGTCTCCAGCAGTTAAACATGTTCATGTCTCTAATTACAAACATGTAAACCTACCATATTCCCTCTAGCAAAGAGAAACTGAATATCTTATTTCCATATCTGAAAAGAACTGGGTTAAGAAAAAAAATACTTTAAATGGGGAAAAAAATTAAATTGATTTTGAGTTCCAAAACTAGGAATTACTGTGTATTTGGGGTTCGAATTTTTAGGCGTCATTGGCATCTTGGCTAGGAGGGGATCCGGCAAGCCAACCCTACATGCCGCCCGAGCTCTGCCTCTGTTTTGCACTCAAGGCAGCTTGTTCAGAGGCAGCCTTTTGTCTTTGAAGAAGTTCAAGTTCTTTTTGTTAGGTCTCCATAGTTTGCAGCTTTTGCCGTAGCTCTGCCACATCAACCTGGTGAGATAGTAAGTGTTAGAACTAAACTTCTTTCCAATGAAGACATTTTAAAAGAAACCACCAAAATTAATCAGATATCATTCAAACCAACAAAATTAATTATTCAATACATAAATCAAAAGTTTGATGTTAGTATTAATTTGTGCTCCGTTAACATAATGAAGAAACCAAAAGTTTCTGCAATGCTCTTGATAGATTATGATAGATTCAAGAAATATATTGTTCTCTTAAATCAATCAATAAAGACCAAACTATTATGCCTTCAAATGAAAGCAACCACAAAGAAAGTCAAATTTAAAAAAGGAAAAAAAGAAAAGAAAAGAGAGGGGTCATAGTAAACTGCACCAAATAGAGCCACCAACCTACTTGATTTCAACTAATGCATGCAAATACAAGAAAATATGCTGCCAAGAATATGCATGTAAATACAAATTTCAAGACAATAAACTTGTAGTTGTAGACATTCCGGTCCAAAGAACATAGAAGAAAACCATGTCATATGACTTCATGGTTTTAATTACACTAAAAAAAATGGGATCTGAGTCTTGTAGACTTGTGTAATTATGTCAATGATCCAATTAAAACACTATAGACCATAAACAGAGAAATATATGGACCAAAAGTACATTTATATCTCCATAAAGCGATCAAATCTCATTGAAAGAAAACTGAGAAATTGAATCGCCAAGTTACCAACAAAAACATACAGTACACTTAATTGAAGATAATTGCATTTCAACAGTACACTTAATTGTCACTTGTAACCTTTAAGCAATGGATTGATATCTTTTTTTTCTTAAAGGAACTTAATTGTTTTATAATTTAGTGAATTGTTGATCAGAATTGGTAGGTATAATTCTTTGTATTTCATCTATTGCATGGAGAAAAGAGTAGAAATGGAGGAGAAGAGTAATGGGGAAGAATAAGTAGAAAAAGGCTATAAGAGAAGTAAGCAAAGCCATATTGTTTTTTATTACTCTTGTCTCACACTTTGATGGTCATTCTAGAAAAACAAAATGTATTATTTTCTTCATATCACTACACTAAAATTATTTCTGATATGAACATCAAAAGAAAAAAATTGAGTGTTTTTTCCATTCACAAATCCTATAGTGTAAAGTGTAAACATAATATGGCAGAGTTAAGCTGATCAAACAAATGCAGGACATTACCATTTGGGTGGCGTAGACGGCTGTGTATGAAAAGAAGAAAAGAAAAGAAAAGAAAAAGTCAATTGCATGGACAAGAACAAAGTGGAGGAGGGGAAATATGAGAAGCTACGATTGCAAATAGATCAATTAAGACAAACCTTAAAACAGATATCTCTTTGTAGAAGTTTTCGATGTTCTCAACAGTTAAATCTTGTTCAAGAAAAACTTTAATGGCAACATCTGTCCCATTCCAAATGCCACGAAAAACTTCTCCAAAAAACCCTTGAAGATTCAGGAAAATTTTTTTTTTCTTCTGAAAGTCAAGTACCTAACACAAATGTCGCATTTTGATGTTTATAGGTTGCCAAAAATCTATTTATGGGGTTAATGTGGCAGCCGCCAGGCTGTCTTAATATATATGATGTACAAGTATTCTAGAATAAAAACATGGACAAAACTAGAATACAAACATGGACATAAATGTGAAGTTCTCCATTAAATTTACTTGGTATAGTATGATTAGAACTTTATTAACAGAAGGTGATTTAAAATTGAAATGTGAAGTGGAAAGGTGGTCTTCGTAAAAATAATGCATGAGTTTCTAAAATGCATTTTTGTGTGCAGTATGAAGTATAATGTAGTCTCATCAGTTGTACACTATACAATAATAACAAAAACAGTGTATTTAATATAAGTGTTTTCTCAAATTTTAGATTTTCTTTGCAGACTTTTGATAGGCAGTGCATACCAAATTTTTGTGTCTGATAAATAATGAATAAGTGGCATTTGAAGCATATACATGCTATTAGCAATGAACTGCTCACACTGGAGAACCAAAACAAAGTAAATAACATGACAGTATTTATAATCATTGAGAACACATATAAATGGTTGCTGTAGGTTTTTAGCATGGAATATATCCAAGAAAAGCTATTCTTACTAGTATAACATATCATTTTCTTTGGGCCAAAACTTATTCTATTTTCGTAGCATCATCCAAAATGAACCACCTCATCTATAATGTACATTTCTGAATCATACTAGGAATTTAACATATATAGCAATGAACTGTTTAGGTGCATAGAAAACCAATCAATAATTTATAATTTGTTTAGGTGCATAGAAAACCACCTCATCTATAATGTACATTTCTTAATTTTTGTTTTCATAGTATTCAGTTTCAGCTTTAGGCACAAAGAGATGAGAAAGCAAGAAGGACTAATTGTCATAATAAAATTTATAATTTAAGGCATAAAACTCTTATATTGACAGCATACCTCTTCACAACCTGATTCCATCATCACTTTAATAGATCTGGTCACAAATTAGACAGACAAAATAACATTCAGAAAAAATGGGAGAAAAAACAAACCCCAAAAATAGAGAGATGGTTGGGAGGTGGGGGGAGAGTGGTGATTAATGATTTGTTTCACTCAAGTAATGGCATGATCGAGATAAATTAGTTGGATAGTTCAAACTTACTCTTCAGTAACCTTGGCAAATGCAGCTAAATCAGATTTTGCCATGTGCTTTGCATACTGAGCTGCTATTTCCTGACGGGTCTGCTGATCTGGTAAGCCAAAGGTGATCATAGAATCAAACCGACTGACAGAAATGAATGAAACGTATGTTAGTAAACCTTGACAATTCTGCATATAACCGTCATATAAGAAAATGTGCACTGGTATACCTAATCAAAGCAGGATCAGGGTCTTGCTTTCTGCTGGTTGCAGCAATGACCACCACTTTTTTCTCCTGCTCAAATCCATCAATCTGCACTAGAAGAGTAAAATTTACTAAGGCCACAGCAAAAACTGTCTAATTCAGCTATATCCTATTTAGTTTAACACATGCTACCAGAGAATGATTACATCTATCATTTCTCGAAAGTATTCAAAGAACATTACAAACAACGAAATTTGAGAAAAAGACAGCACAATCCCATTTTTGAAGGGAATAGTAGGCAGTAAGTTGCAAGGTGTTCGAGGTTCTTTGGATAGTATGAACTGGGAGAATAACATTTTAGACAGAATAGTGAAAACTTCAGTGACAATAATATCATTCAGGAAAATTTAGCAAAATTGTTATACCTGCCGTAATAACACTGATAAGATTCTACGTGTAGCTTCATGCATTTCATTGTCACGAGCAACAGCAAAAGAATCAACCTGTAAATCAGAATGAAAAAGAAGTAACAAGGTAATTTCATTTGCAAGAAACTTAAGTTAAACCAGAATAGGATGCATAAGAATCAACCTGTAAATCAGAATAAAAAAGGATAGAACTTGAGAAGTATCATATACCATGCTCAAGACCACAAAGAGAGTAGTGGTATAAAAAACACATTCATTCCAGATAAATTTTAAAGTATCAAGTTTGAAACACCAACATTCTTTATGAATGTGCCCAACATCTACCAAAGCATTATAAGGGGAAAGTAGCATCCATAAGGCCAAAAATAATCCAAAAGTCATCCAAACTGACAATTTAAATCAATATAAGGACTCACTTTGATTGAGCAACAAGATTGTGAAAACAAATATCAATCCAACAAATACCAGCTAAACCAAGCCAAACGAAACCAAAAGTCTTGACATAACATTCCATTTATGGTGACAAAACAGATACCAACTACAACATTAGTTTAACACAAGCAAAATAATTCTTTGTTCCAGCCCCAAAAAAGAATTTCGCACATTTTCCATTGTTCCCATACCTAAAGATTGAGCATTCAGGCCCACCAAATTTAAAATACAAGAAAAATTTACCATTCTCATGTGTTGGACTAGATGTGTCCTTCAATGGAGATGCTTTATCCACATTTGTTCTTGGAGGCCACTGTTCCAATGGACGAATAACAAGAGCTCTAGGATTCTCCCTGGGAATGAAAAGAGCATTTGCCTTAGGTGTGCTCGGAGTTTCTTCATCATCAGTGAAAAATGGCACCAGGATATCAAAATTAAGCAATGAAGTGTAATAATTTCTATTTTAAAATGAGATACTAAGTTTTACCAGAGGAATCATCATCACCTTTGGACCATCATTTTTAGGATGATATTTCCTTACAGGCAACCTAATCCGCCTTTGAGAAAGGTGGCGAGAAGTCAACAAAGATGATATTCTAACCAGAGCAGGTTTGTCAACAACCTGTTTCGAAAACTATGTCACCACATGCACATGATAAATCTAATAACTAGCTCTTCAGAAAAGAAGTTCAGACATGGTAATTACAATTACAAACAAAATGTAACAATGAAAATTGAAATTTCAATTTAATAATCAAATTGAAACAGAGTCCCACCAAAATAAATTATAAATTAAAACTACTCATAGTTTTTAGTTCCTCTAGGCTTTTTTTGTTTTTGTTTTGTTTTGTTTTGTTTTTTTGTTTTTTTTGTTTTTTTTGTTTTTTGTTCTGACTGGACAGGACAAGTCATGCTTACTGGCAGGCTAGAAATTCCATATTGAATAGAAGGTGCAGTCCCTGAACGACCAATTGACATCTGAGGCATTGCAGGTAGAGTTCCAAAAGGATTTGCAACAGGAAGTGGTTGTGCAACTGTAGAGCCCTGAGTAACAGACCTGTTACAAACAAACCAGAGTCACATAAAATACCAAAACAAGGCTTAAAAGTAGAAGTAGATGCACAATTAAGCAAAATTTCACACGATGACAGTTTAAGTGCTAACCCAAGGGCTGGGCCAAAAAGACAAGTAAGGAAATAATGTTGAATACTCATAAAACTGTGACATAACGCACACATAAAAAAACTACATTAGTTGGAAATACCAACATGTCCACATATCAAAACTTATCAATTTTCTGAATCCAATACATCATACGTCATGCCCATTCAAGCAACCTAGGTTCCAACTATCACCCCTAAAATATCAACTACTTAAACATTGCCACACAGAGAAACTTAATTATGAGTTTTAAGAGTGACTTACAGTTGTTTGACCAAATCCTATAGGATTGCTTGTAGATAGCAGTGATGGAGTGTTTGAGAACAAGTTGCCAAACAAATTTGAGTGCAATTTTTACAGCTTGCAGTTGAGAGATCAAGTCTCAACACTTCATTCTCAAATTTACCATCAGAAAACCATAGGGAGATATTTTTCTATTATCTAGAGGGGTTAATTATACGGACACCGTCTCAATTATCATTCAACATCACTTGACCCTCAACTGAAAAACCCTAAACTTGGATCCTTCAATCATAAAAATTGTATAAAATGCCCCCCTTTTGGGCAACGCAAGTGATTTGATTTTATAATGTTTTTTTTTTGGGTCAATCGGGAAGAGAATATTACATTTTACAAATATCAAAATAGTTATGACAAATTGGACAATCAACTATCTAAGAAAGTCTAACAATACATACTTGCAAGCCCAACACCAACAACCACTACATCATAGGACTCTACAGGTTCAGTGGCAAAAATAAAATAAAATTATTAGTGACCAACATCGTACTAACTTATAATCAAGATAAATACAGGCACGAGTCATATCAAAAAGGCTCCTTAGCTGTTGTCCTTCCCACAGCTTTGTTTAGGCTTCAAACTTATTGTACTTGTTTACCCAATCAATAGAAACATCATCAATTAGACAATTACCCAACATCTTAATGCATATAAATCTACAACTTAAAACATACTATTTTTCCTCCCTTCTTTTTCCCTTTTGAAATAGCGAGGGAAAAAAAAAAACATACCCAACAAGTTCAACAATTCATATTCAATTAACATATAATTTCAACAAAGCCAAACAAATTTATTATATTATCAATATCCAGAGGGAGAAAATAGTTAAAGATATGAATCAAGAAAATGCCTTTCTTTTCTTGGCTATCTGCACAAGTAGTCAATAACAGGAACACCCATGTGTAGCAGCTTGAAAAAAAGGAAACTCGGATAACATACCAAGATGAAAGTTTATCAATTTACATGGGAACTACACCAAAATGATTATTAGGAGAGTTAGAAAGAAAGAAATGCCAAAATGAGATTCCAAAAAAAAGGAAAAATAATGGACTAAAGAGAGACAAAGCAGATATGATATTACCATGTTAGCAGATCGGACAGAGAGAGAGAGAGAACAGATCTGATCTTAGAGAGAGCAAATCTGCATCTCTTCATCGTTGAGCTTCTACTCATTGTTACCAACAATCCACATCCAACGCCACCTGCTTGTCCCGTACATGATTAGAGACATTAACACTGCACTCGAAACCCTAGATAAATCGATTCACCATTGCTGCTTCTCAATCTGATGAAAGAGAAGAGTTTTTCACACAAGGACTAGAAATAAAGGAACAAAAACGAAAGGAGAAAACACAACAAAAGCAAAAAAAAAGATGGAAATCAACTAAGTCGAGAGAAAGCAATTCCAAATCATTAGTTTTAGCCATGAAATTTTATAGATCTTGTGTGAATGTAGCAAACCTATATCAAAAAACCCTAACCTTGAGCCCTAGATCGATTTAGATCATAGGGATTCGAACAATCACGGAGATATACGCTCAAATCACGAGTAGAACAAGATTTTTCAGATCAAACAACTGAAGAATTGATGGAGATCGAAGATCCGATGCCTCAAAGATCCGATGCCTCGATTTCTCTCTCTTTCTGAAGTTACGCCTCTGTTCAATCTAAATAGAAGAATCTCATAGCATTGAGTTGAGCCACTGTTTAAAAGAAATAATCGGGGCACAAAACGAGAGATGGTTTAGTTTAATTTTTTTGGAGTTTGAAAAATCTGGACAGATTTTACGACGTTTTTGAAAAACGTCATAGAAAAAAACGTCACTGTATGTCCTTTTTCTTGTAGTGGAGGTTAATTCTCCTCCATCATATTACTTTTAAAAATTGTTACTAACACATAAACATATATATATATATATATATATATGTTGGGTGTATAAGATACATACCATATATACTTGTGTAAGTTCTCACAAATATACATAAATTATGATTTCTCAAATTTTTATAGTTTAAGTTACGTATATTTGTGAAAACTTACGCGATTTTATGAGATAACTTGCGTATATTTGTAAAAATTTATGTATTACATATGATATATACTTACACACTTAAAAATTTCCATATGTATTTTTTTCCATAACCAATTTGACTTTATAGCAGTGGAGTTTGTGCGCTGGTGCACCTTTAGATATTTACAATTATTTTATATTTTTTTCACTTATTTGCAGTTATTTCAAATTTTTATATATCTACTTTGTATTTCTTATTAATCTTAGTTTTTTTTTTTCTTTTTGTTGGAAGTTGAGAAATGTAATGGTTAACTTAGGAGAGAGACTGATTGATGAAGAGGTGGAGAAGATGATTAGAGATGCTGATTTGGATGGTGATGGTCGAATTGATTACAAGGAATTTGTTAGAATGATGTTGGCTGCATGACAAGTTCACCTTTTAAAGAGGTGTAAAAAAAAAATGTATTAAAGATGTGTGAAAAAACAAATGTAAAGCAAATAATAATAATAATAATAATAATAAAGATTGTTACTTTTTTGATAACTCATATCCAACTTATTGAGTCGACTGATTCAGGATACTTAAAGTTAGGGCAAAATCCTACATGAACTAGTCGTGAGAAATTGTTTACATTTAAGAGGTTTTGAACCTGAAACCTTAGACGGAGCAAATCCCCAAACTCTAAGTCTTGATTGCTAGGCCAACCTCTTAAGGCTAATAAAAATTTTACTAGTTTATCACTAGATTTTATAATAAAATATTATTTTACATCATGCCTTTAACGAAAGAATTGACCCAAAATGTAAAGTGGTTTTTCGTGAAACAGTGAATTCTAATTTCTAACACATTTCCAATCAATTCACCAAAATTTACACAATATTTTTGAGCATGTGCCATTAGAGTGTTGCTATCTAGTAGGTCCACCTTATATTTTACCTAGTATATTCTTCTAATTTTTTAAGGCCATATAACTATTCTTTCTTATTTTTTCTGCTATATTTTAAATGATTATATATCCTCTTGTTATAAGGTGAACACAACCATGCATATGGTGAACCTACCAGATAACTTCTCAATCAAAAAAATTAGTGATAGAAAGTGGTGATGACCACTTTTTTCTCATAATAAAATACAATGCAACTTTAGACTTCATAGTATTACATCTGAAAGATTGATAGCTCAAAGACATATTTGGATTACAGAAAATATTAGATTATAGCCAACACTTACGAAATCAACTTGTTTGTTTGAAATTCATTAGGATTTGTTTAATTAGGAAATAAATAAATGGTGAAAAGTGAAAATATAATAAATGAAGTAAAAAGTATATATTTGCTCGCATGTATTCAGCCTTACTTATAAAGAAATTCTGTATAAGATATTTCTTAGAATGATTTATTCGACAGAAAAATTAGTGAAACATTCCTTTTTAACTTTGGGTAATATGAGAAGTCCAATATATATATTTTTTATTAGATAACGTTTCTCAATAATATTAATAGAGAAATTTCAAATTTCTCTATGAAACTTCTTTTTGAAAAGCTAAATATCTGTGAAGGGTTAGAAATTTCTACGTGAAGAGAAATTTCTCTGTGAAAATGTGAAGGGATCTCAACTACTATAAAAATGTTACATGCCATTTGTAACGCCCTCAAAATAATAACATTAAACCCGACAAATAAGACATGCATTGATATTCAAAAGTTCCATATTCTTTCATTTCTCAGAGTTTCATTACAAAAAGTATTACATGTTAACAACAAAAGCAAATGCCCTACAGGCTTACAGCTTTCCAAGTTAACACTTGGTTAAAAAAAAGAGTACTATCTCAAATACACATTAAGCCCTTGGCTTGAATTTACATGTAATACATCCAAAAGATAAAAAAACGACAAAAGTCTGTCTGCCTCTAGCCTCCCAAGCTATGTCCTTGGAGGTGGCATGCTAGATGAGTTAGTACTCTTTTGTTGTAACCAAGTGTTAACTTGGAAAGCTGTAAGCCCGTAGGGCATTTTGCTTTTGTTGTTAACATGTAATACTTTTATAATGAAACTCTGATGAATAGAAGAATGTGGTTATTTCATTTGTCAATAAATGTCTTATTTGATGAGTTTAATGTTATTATTTTGAGGGCGTTACATTTCTCTATGCCAAACATGCATATAGGTTTATATAAACAAAACCCTAACTTTTGTAAAATTACACAAAAGCCCCAAACTTTCGCAAAATTACCAAACCAACCCCAACATATCAAAATCCTAAAATTTAAAGACAAAGCTCATAAAGAGGAGTAGGGTATCCCTACCTCGAAGTTTGAGCTCAAACGGAGATGAAGACCTGAAATCCAACGTGCTCTAAGTCCCAAGTATTTCAGATTAACTCAAAGCCCAAGACACCCTCTAACTTTTTAACAAAGGGCTAAGGGTAGGAACTCACCCTAGGTAGATCAAATCTCAGAGAGAGGGCAAGTTTAGAGAGAGAGGGTCTCGGATCTAGGGTTTGTAAAAGAAAAGGGGATGAAAAAGTGAAGTTAAAATTGCTGCTGTCTGCTGATAGAAAACAGGCTCGCTCGAGTGAAGATTT